GCACTACGCGGCAAACGTCCCGATACCATCCACACAATCTGGATGCTTGGCGGTCCACCACTGTACGTTTCAAAAGGAGTTTTCTTTCGCGTACAACCTCTCTGTGGAATAATTTACCACCGGCGATTTTTCCGGACCGATACGACCTGGGGACCTTCAAGAAAAGAGCTTACTCCTTTCTAGGCAACGTACCTGCAATTCCCCCGGTGTTGCGGTTGATCATGGGCGGCGGTAGTCACTTAACATCAGGTGAGCCACATGCTCGTTTGCCCCCTCTTCTATAATATATATATATATATACAGTAAAAGCTCCTTATTCGCGCTTCCTTCATTCACATTTTCACTATTCGCGGGTTAAAACAATGGGACCCAATTCCTATATTCGCGGCCTAAGAATTCTTTATTCGCGGATCTAATCGGTATATCGGTACATACGTATTAATGAAAAGGATTCCTATAGTATCCAACCCAAATATCCTTTGTAATCGCGTCGGCAAATGGACTAATAAAAAAGTAAAATAGACCTTATTACAACTATGTCTAAAGTATGTTATTAAATGATATCAGCGTTGTATTGATTACATAAAGTATATTTTTAAATGCTGCCCCGCATATTAGACGTTCCGTCTTTTGGTAGGAGCCACTTTGCGTGTTTTATTCCTTCATCGTTTCATTCGTTATAAAAATTGTGATCGAGTAACGTCTCTATTGCTGTCTTCCTAATTTGTAATGTCGACAAAAAAAATTAAAACGAGTTTTAACAAGCACTGGAAATGTGACAGTTAATTTGAAAAAAATTACTGAAGGTTGGTGAATGGCAAATGAACTGAATGATATTAGAATATGTCGATCTCGTATAATGTGTGCCATGTGACACCGTTTTTAAATCAGGGCTAACTTACGAGTATTAATATGAAATCTCGTAGATCGGTTCATTACAGTTGTTTACTTTATAAAATATTACAAAATCAACAACCGAAATACTTATATGAAAGGCTCAGTTTCTCGGAACGTCTCTCGCGGGAAACTGTTCGATTATTGTACCCAAGACACAGAACGGCCGCGTTTCGTGGTAGCTTTCGGTATGCTGCCACAAAGTGTTGGAATAATACCGCCTCCGATCAAGGGCAACAAAACAGTTCGCACTTTTAAAATAAAACTAAAAGAATACCTTTTAAATTTGCAAAGTAAGTAGAATTATATGTCGATGTATCACATTTTTATTATAAAGTATAATGTGTCTATATATTATAAAACTAACGAATACTTGCTTAATTGTACATTTATTTATTTTGCTTTTGTATCTTGTCAAATAATTTAATTGTGTGTCTTGTGCCTTGCACATGCCTTTTGTTGCCCTTTTTGTTGTGTTGGCTTTTTGCTGTGTAAATTAAGTTTATTCTATTCCACCTGTCTCTGGCGTTTACTGAAAATCAGTAGTAGTAGTTACCACTATATGGTTTCTATAACATTTCTGCTGAGTAGACGCCTTTTTAGTTCATTCCTTTCAATAATTATGTTATGTTAATTTGTGTGTATGTTTGGAACTAAATAAATTATATTATTATTATTATTATGTGGGATATCTATATAGTTTTCTCATCTGGTTGGGTTCTATAAATATATAATTATAAATTAAAATGAAAAGATAAATATACATAAATATCAATAAAATAAAATAAATACAAAAATACATAAATAAATAAAAGCCCAACCAGATGGAAGCCCTCGGCAGGGGGAGACCAAACGGCCGAGGGTTAGGAGGAAAGGGAAAGAAACCGGCGGACGATGTGGGAGGTATCGAGGAGCACCGCCTTCTGCATTTGAGTCTGGAGCGGTTCGTCACGGAGTCCCAGTCGCCTCAGATGACCCGAGAGGCTGACTGGGCTTAGCCCATTCGCAGAGACGACTACAGGAATAATTTCGGTCGGCATACCACCCCACATGTCGGTCATCTCGTGACCTTGATATTTTGTTCGTTTATCTGTTTCGCCTTTCACGAGGTTCTCGTCATACGGAATGGTAATGTCGACCAAAAATATCGTTGACTGTGCCCAGTCCATCAGCACAATATCAGGTTTATTCGCAAGAATAGTCCTGTCCGTGATGATGGCCCGGTCTCAGTAGAGCCTGGCGCGGTCATTTTCGAGCACGGCTTCCGGCAAGTACTTGTAAATACGGCAATTTCCGGTCCACGAGACCGTATTTCAGAGCGAGCTCCTGGTGTAGAATTCTGCCTACTAGGTTGTGCCTGTGCAAGTACTCAGAGTTAGAAAGCGTCGAACAACCGGAGATGACATGCCTAAGTGACTCCCCGGAATGGCGACAAGCTCGACAGACGTCGACAGTGCCATCCTTTAGGATGTATCTCCGATAGTTGTTGGTCTTAATAACCCGATCCTGTATTGCACAGACAAAACCCTCGGTATCCCCGAAGAGGTCACCGAAACGTAGCCAGTTGAGGGAGGCGGCTGTATCTACGTGGGGTTCATGTAGAGCCCTGTAGTACCTCCCGTGGAGTTCCTTCTCCTTCCATACAGTCTCCCAGTCGGAAATGTTCTGTACTGCCGGGTCCTGCCATTGCTCGTTGGCTAAGGATAGAGAAGTAAGTCCTTTATCACCGTGTTTCGCGGCAAGTACAGCCTCATTACCGACGATCTCGGATGATGCATCCTATGGGACGTCATTGTAGCGCGGACTTTTCTATCCAGGGCGTTCGGTCTGACTCCACCTAAGTATGCCAAAAGTATACATGAGGACAGGCATGACCCAGCCGTTATATGCGTGTGTCTTATTCACACCGGACAAAAGGCTGCTAAGCACTTTGGTCAAGCGTGCATAAAACACGTCGCAAACTGACTGTTTCATACCAGCCTCATCGATACCAATGTTCTGTGACATACCCAGGTATCGGTATGTTTCAGCCTCGGAAAGGGTCCTTAAGTTGACGGGCATAGATAAGTCTATGCCCTCAAAGTTAGCAATCCCTACCCTTTCAACATGGAGGACCGCACACTTATCCGTCCCCAGCTCCATTCTGATAGAATTCATAAATTCACAAGTGATGTTTAGCAATTCCATAAGATGGGAGCGACTGGAGGCGAATAATTTGTTTGAGGTCATCCATATAGAAAAGGTGTTCACTTTTGTACCTCCTTTCCGAAGCTGAAATCCCCTCCCGGAACCCTCCAGTAAAGTACTGAGAGGGTTCAAAGAGAGGCTGAACCAGATTGGACTCAGACAGTCACCCTGGAAGTTAACCCTTCTTATCCTTATGCAAACGATGATGAATGAATGAGGGGAACCTGGAAGATACCCCTTCTTATCCTTATGTGATGCGAAACCAGAAAAGTTAGAAGAACAACGACATAAAAATTTAGAAAGGATGTTAAATATAAAAAAAATTCTGAGCTCAGTGAGGAAGAACGGGAAAAAAATAAAGAATTGGAGACATAAGCAAAAAGAAAGGTGCAAGGAAAAGAAAACAAAATCAACAAAAATCATAAAACGTCAATCAATCTTTGGAAGATACAAAAGCGGCAAAGAACGAAGAAAATAAAAAAGTTAAAAAAGAGAGCGACAAGAAATTAAAATTACAGAAAAATGTTACATAAGCCAAAAATTACTTGAAGAAAAAGAAAAAGAATGTTTAACAAAATGTATATTTTACACAGCACTTAGTATAAGATTGTACAGAATTAAACTGAAAAATGATTCTAAAGTAAAAAAGAACTAGGAAACAGCAATAAAAAACTCTGTGAATTAAACCAAGCCTTAGAAGCATCATTACAACACATTTATAAAGATTTGAAAACTCAAAAGCAAAGAGCAATAGTTAAAACAACACAACTAAATTTTAGTCAGTCAATCGCATAGATTTAGTTTTTTTTAGAAGTGACTTTTTGAAAGATCAACTTCTACATCATCCATATTTCTAAATCCTTGCATTTTGATGAGGATGGAGATGCATTCTTATTCAAATGTATTAGTTAACAATTATAAACGACGGAGTTTCCTTTTATTTAGGAAAATCTACCCATTTCTAGAAATTGAGTTCATTTCTCATGTTTCATCATAAATAAATATTGTTTTAACCGTTTAAAATAAAAGGTTGCTTATTTTAATTAAGCATCTTATTTATTTTCCGTTTATAAACTAAATCGAATTGGAACAGTGTGACTAACAATGTAAATCGGCCTTATAAATTTCTTGGTTACCAATCATAATCAATTTTGTTACTGTCCATAAAAATAACGAAGGTTTTTAATTTATAAAAATTTGAGTTTTAGACTTTAACTAATTATATTTACTTATTAATATTTGCCGGAAAATTGTAATTCCATATCATTAAACAATATTTACATTATATTTTTATTTTAAAATGGGCCACGTTAAAAGTACCCTTAACCCACGAGCATGTATGCGTAGATATATGGATGTAAAGGAGGCGAAAGAGGTATGTCAATTAGGATCGTGTCAAATGGAAGTCCGTAGTCTCTGCCTACCCCTCTGGGTGACAGGCGTGAGTGTTTATGTTATGTATGTTATATATATATATATATATATATATATATATAGGTATATATATATACATATGTATTTATATGTATGTGTATATTTGTCTACTAACATACATATAGACAAATAGAAACGCTACATGACTGATGTTATATATAAATATTACTTACAGGTATATTATTTTCGGGAGGAAGCATTGCTTCCTCGGCTTCCGAATCGCCGTCCGATCTGTCTATGGAATCAGGCAAACCCTGTTGAAAAATGAACACGATTTTATTGTGCTACAAACATATACACACACACACACACACACACACACACACACACACATATATATATATATATATATATATATATATATATATATATATATATATATTATCATCATCATCATCATCATCATCACAGCCCTTCACAAGTCCACTGCTGAACATAGGCCTCCCCCAAGTAATGCCACAAAGCACGGTCCTGAGCCACCTGCATCCATCGACTTCCTGCATATCTTACCAGGTCGTCACTCCATCTAGTGGGGGGTCGCCCTACACTACGCCTACCGGTACGAGGTTGCCACTCGAGAACCTTTCTTCCCCATCGGTTATCGGTTCTTCGAGCTATATGGCCGGCCCATTGCCACTTCAGCTTACTAATCCGTTGGGCTATGTCGGTCACTCTGGTTTTACTGCGGATATCGTCATTTCTGAGTCTATCACGCAGAGAAACTCCGAGCATAGCCCTCTCCATAGCTCGCTGAGCGACCTTGAGCGTCCTCATACGGCCAGCAGTGAAGGACCACGTCTCTGATCCGTAAGTCATCACTGGCAACACGCACACGTTGTACACTTTAGTTTTCAGAGATTGAGGTATACCTCACGAGAAGATGTGTCGTAATTTCCCGAACGCTGCCCAGCCGAGTTGAATCCGTCGATTGACCTCTCGGTCGAAGTTGGACTTACCTAGTCGGACTATTTGTCCCAGGTAAACGTACTCGTCAACAACTTCGAGCGTAGTGCTCCCAACAACTACCGGCATAGGTGTGACATGGACATTAAACATGATCTTTGTTTTGTCCATGTTCATCTTAAGACCTATCCGTTGGGAGGCACTATTGAGGTCATTGAGCATAGTGCTTAAGTCCTCCAGCGATTCTGCCATAAGGACTATATCGTCGGCAAATCGAAGGTGAGTGATGTACTCGCCATTGATGTTAATACCGTATCCTTTCCAGTCCAGTAGCTTGAAAACGTCTTCCAAAGCAGCGGTGAAGAGTTTCGGGGATATAACGTCACCCTGTCTTACACCTCTCTGCAGTTGGATAGGTTTCGAGCTCTGGTTCTGTACTCGGATAGCCCTCGTACCCCTACTGTACAAACACTTCAGCACTTCGATATACCGACAGTCAACTTGGCACCGCTGAAGGGACTGCAGCACCGCCCAAATTTCGACGGAATCAAAGGCTTTTTCATAGTCCACATACGCCAGGCAAAGTGGCAAATTGTACTCTTCAGTCTTCTGTACAATCTGCCGCAGGGTATGTATGTGGTCTATGGTACTGAAGCCTTTTCGGAAACCGGCTTGTTCGGGAGGCTGGAAGTCGTCGAGTCTGCGTGCGAGACGATTCGTAATGACTCTCGAAAACAGCACGTAAACGCGGCTCAGAAGGGAAATCGGTCTGTAGTTCTTCAAGAGAGCGTTGTCGCCTTTCTTAAAGAACAAGACCACCGCACTTCTGCTCCACGCCTCTGGAGTAGTGCCACCATGGAGGACGGAATTGAAGAGCTTCTGAAGGACTTCAAGTACCGGTGTTCCACCCGCTTTCAGAAGCTCCGCTGTAATTCCATCCTCGCCTGGGGCCCTGCCGTTTTTAAGGTGCTGGAGAGCCATTCTAATCTCGCTTAGACTGACGTCCGGGATATCATCGGAATAGTGTCGGATAAGACTTGCTCTTGGATCGTTACTCACACTTGCGTGTGGCTCCAACGATGATGCGTACAGCTGCCCATAGAACCTCTCAATCTCACTCAAAATCTCAGGTGTCCCGGAAACGATGCTGCCACACTCAGTCTTCAGCCTTGACAGTTGGCTCTTACGGGCAGACAGATCTCTGGCAAAGACTTTGGAGCCCTGGTTCCGCTCGATCGCTTCTTTAATACGCGCAGTATTAAAGTTGCGTAAGTCTCGCCGCATGCATTTGGAGATCTGTCTGTTCAGTTGCCTGTATGCTGTCAAATCTGTTGAGGATTGCAGCCTCATCTCCCGTCTAACAGCCATGAGATTAAGAGTGTGATCGGAGAGTTTTTGTGTTCTTCCGCGGCGGGTCTTGCAGAACTTAGCTCCGACCGCATGGACAGTTTCCACGAGCTTGTCATTCACATCGTCCACTGCATTGCAATCTTGTAGGCACTGAAAGCGGTTGTGTAACTCGAGCTGAAAGTTTTCGGGATTTTGGATTAGAGCACGAGGGGGACGGAGCGCTGACTTCATTAGACGAGACCTCTCCAACTTAACGTTTAGGTTCAGTGTGCCTCTAACCATTCGGTGATCGCTGCCAGTTTTCACCCTTGCGATCACTGAGACATCACTGAACAGTTGGCGTCTGGTCGTCATAATGAAGTCAATCTCATTTTTGTCGAACCGTCGGGGCTCGACCAGGTCCACTTCCTGTGGGGCCGCTTCTGGAAGAAAGAGTTCATCATAAAGAGTCCCTCTTTCGCCATAAAGTCGGCCAGCTGCTGGCCCCTTCGGTTCCGTTGCCCTACTCCAAATTTCCCTAACTTCAGCTCACCGTTTTCTCTTGTGCCTAGTTTTGCGTTTAAGTCTCCCATCAACACCGTGTAGTGGGTTTTGGAGGAATGCATGGCTTTGGAAATATCCTCATACATTTCCTCCACCTCCTCATCGGAATGTGCCGAGGTTGGTGCGTAAACCTGTATGACCTTCAGCGAATACCGTTTGGTGATTCTGAGTATCAGGTACGCAACCCTCGTCGACACACTCCCAATATTTACAACGTTGTTGACGAGAGACTTGTGGAAGATAAATCCGACACCTCCTTGGGACAGATGGTCGCCCTCCCGGTGATAGAACAAGTTGCCGGATTCGAGAATCACCGTGTCCTCCCCCTCTCTTCGGACCTCGGATAATCCTATAATACTCCAGCGCAACTTGTCTATCTCTTCTTCCAGCTCCAGGATCTTCTCGTCAGTCCTCAGTGTGCGTGCGTTAAATGTTGCCAGGTCGAGTCGTCGTAGGTGGCGACCGAACCTCCACCGGAGATTCTTAGCACCCCCTGCCCCGCCGTTACCATGGTCGCCACCGTAGCCAGGAATAGCGGGGCCGCCGGGGACTGGGGGCCGTCTATTTGTGTAATTGTTCATGGGGGTTATATTGCGATAGTTGCCACGCTTGGCGAGCGGGTTGGCAATCGCAGTTTTTTTTTGTCGTACAGTTGCTGTTATCAGGAAGATGCTGCTGCCCATCTCCTGCCTGTTTCCCTCTGTCGCCTTTTACGACACCCACGGGAAGATATGGGGTAGTGGATATTCTTAACCGCCACTACACGGCAAAAATATATATATATATATATATATATATATATATATATATATATATATATATATAGGATGTTAGTGTAAACACCGTTGTCCTTGAAACCAGTGGTTTGGTTTCACTTATAGAAAGTAATTTCAATGAAAAATAACAACATTTTTTTTAAGTCAAATCTCAATTTTTTCTTACAATTATTTCACCCTAGGCAAGTAGGGATATACCTACAGAATTCACAACAAAAAACTCAACGTATCGTAGGTAGCGGCAGCGATTCGCGGTCAAGGCCAATGTCATTGTGTCAGTCCTTCGGTGCGTCGGTGGGGAATGTACGTGTTAATTTAATTTAAAACCGCGCCGCGCGCCGTGCCGACATCCTACGTCGCTTTAGGTTCCTTGATCCGAGTGTATTTAGTTTGTAATTATGTCATACATAAACGTGCAGTGGAAATGTGCCTCTTCGTTCACTGAGAAACCTCTACTACCAACATGACGGTGCCCCTGCACATTTTCAGCTGCAAATCGGAGCTATGCTGGTTGAGGAATTTTCTGGGCGATGAACCGACCTTACCCCGCTGGACTTTTATCTTTGGGGAGAAGTGAAGCGCCGAGTGTATGCAACTAAGTTCCATAATACGTCCGAACTCACTGCGCATGACACTGTTGTGCTTCTAGCTTTTACGATTAATGTAAAAGCTGATCAAAATGAAATTCATTTACGAGGATTTTATTTAATAGGCAAGCGTAAATAATCAATCAGGCTACACATCAAGCTATACAAATCTAGTTTGTCTTGGCCTCGCTTTGTATGATCACTCCGTACAATGAACGGTCAGCTGAGCTTCAAATGCCCTTTACGTTCCTAGGCCGCGGCATCTTGCTAAGACAGTCCCGGGACCCCCGGGTCCTTGATTGGACGGCGAGCTACCCATTGGATTTGCATAGCTTAGTGTGTAGCCGTGTGTGCATAACATTATGATTAACCTTTTAAATACGCCAAAGATCCTACCTAGTGATTTACTATTATTAATGTTTAATTTTCTTTGTTGTTAAATCTAACTTACATTAATTTGGACTCGTCACGCAACACAAAGGGTAGGAATTTTTGACTCTCCTAAGCCAGTTAGAAACTACGAAGGAAAAGTTACATCATAGGTTATGTGTACCATTGTGTTTTTATTGAAATGTTGTGTAGGTAGCAAGGGCGAGCGGTGATCTTTACAGTGATTACGTCACTCGGCCGCATAGGGTCCATGAATTTACGGACGGTGTCGGACAGAAACTATTTTAATTTTATGAAAGAAAATAGCGTTTTTTTTTAAATCGGATAAATATTTTTATATTAAAGCCAACTACCTATGGTTTCAATGACAACGGTGTTTACACTTACACACTGTATATATATATATATCTTGACCCTTTGGAAGAGTGACAACGTTGCACGCGGGTGGCACGCCGACAAAAGACACCGCTGTCGATATGTCGCAATACCAATAGTTTGCACTGCGTGGCAACGTCGCTTTTTAATGTTCAAGGACTCAAGTTCATTGAATCATTGACTTAGTGACCCAATTCTATAGTGTTCAAATTTGCTTAAAATTAAAACTCTACTTTTTGACCTAATTACTGGACCGATTACGTTCATTTTTTGTATATCGTCAGCAAAGGCGATAACAAGTATATGGTTTCATTTATTGCATATATGTGGGACCCATTCTGTATATACTATATATTAGAGTTGGGCCGATCAGTGAGTCAGTCAGACTAATCGGTGAAGCCGATTAATCGGCTTTTCATTTTGTTAATTTCAGCAAAGGTTTTTCGTGTTTTTCTGCGTGGTAAGTGCGGCTACATTGATATGAATAAAGCTTTAAATGTAAGAAAAGAATAGTTTCTCTCCCATGCGTAAAATCACGTCAGATTTATACATATGTAGGTAAATCAAATAAATAATAAAATTAGTAGGTTCATACATAACTTTTATTAAAAAATCAGACTCACATGTTTTAATGTTAATTATTCTGGACATAGGAACTTTGGTAAAAAAAAGAATCTGAAGTAGCTATTTAAATTTAAAACTAAACAAAAACCTAAGTACTTACTATTTTAATTCTACTTTTTAACTTTCTCTAATCGTAATGCAAAGTAGTAACACAACAAAATAAAACATTAATAATGATATTCATAATAAACTTTAAAAAAACAAATTTTAAGCCTCTTCCTTTGCATAACAAAAAAACAACTTAAGTAACGCATGTAGATTTTCAAAAGACAAATAGAACAATTCTTGTTTCTGTACTTAAAACTAAATTGTTATTGTTTTTATACTAAAAATTACAATAAATTGTTTTTTTTTCCTGTAATCTTATTAAATAAAGAAATTATTTTCATCATCAACGAATGGGACCTACATTTCCCGAACGCCACCGAAACTGGGGAATCGTCTGGGCCGATTAATCGGCTAATCGGCCCAAATCATAATATATATATATATATATATATATATATATATATATATATATATATATATATATATATATATGTTTCTATTTATCCATATGTATACAAACCAAAGATTTAAATAGCAAGATGCGACTTCACCTTGAAAACTGTGGCATTATTTTTGGAGTGAGCTCACTTATTTGAGAATGGGCACATTTCAGAGTGGTTATACTATGATAAGGGCACATCTATTTTATTATACTATTAAATCTTTGATACAAACATACATAATATAGACAAATAGAAATGTTACATGACTGATGTTATATATAAAAATTACTTACAGGTATATTATATTCCCCTTCCACATAATTCTCCTCCAGTTCACCATTATCTTCATCAATGACCAAGTCCTCAACCTCGTCGTCGATGAGATCATCAATATATTCCCGGGGAACTGGGTTTCTTCCTGGGCACGACATTCTAAAAACGAAAATAATATTTATTACATTAAAAAAATCAAAAAATCAAGAGAAACCAAGCAAACGAAATATAAACAGATTTACTCTACTACGTAATGAGTATCCCTATCCAAGGTCATATTTATTCTAACAATATTATTTTTATATAAAAAGCAGAAATTACTATACAGGGTGTCCCAAAAATATCACGTCAGAGTGACATGGAAGATAGGTTAGCCTTAGGTCTTGCAGATAAAGAAAAATGACCTTAGTAAAAGTATTTTAGTTTTCGAGATATCGTCAATTGTTTTATTTTCTCAAAAATCTCTACTTTAAGTTAGTGTTCCTACCGTTGTTGTTAGAAATACCTTGAAAGTTGTTGGTTTTTATATTTTTTTTAGTTTTCGAACAGTTGTTCCATGCGGTGAAAATAAATTTGTCCCAAAATCTAATGTATTTTTTAATAAAAAAAATGATTTGTATTACTTTTTTACCTTTGAAAAAATTGAACTCCAACTTTGATGACACACCGTGAAAAAAAATTTTACTGACGTAAACTGGCAAATAATTTGCAAAACTGCTCCAATTACTGCAGATTCAGGAAAGGTACAACACTTATATCAATTGTTTAAAAAATGTTGGAATTACCATTTTTATCAATAAGGGTAGCGCTAAAGCCGAACTTATTGGCTTAGCTATGGGATATTGCCAAAAAAAAAATGAAATTTTTAATTAACGTAAATATTAAAGCAGATGCTCGAATTGTTTCCCTCTAGTTCTAATACATAATCTACATCTTCTGATAAAATTATTTTTTAATCTTCTTAAACCTATTTGCGATATCTCTTGAGCCGCTACGTTTATCCGGTTACGGAGTTCCCTTTCGTTGTGAATTGGCTTTAGGTACACTTTATCCTTGAGACAACCCCAATAAAAAAAATCCAGAGGATTTAAGTCAGGAGATCTCGGGGGCCATAAGATTGGCCCCAATCGCCCAATCCACCTTCTTGGGAACCTGTTGTCAAGATAGGCTCGAACGTCTCGAGCGTAATGTGCTGGGCAACCGTCGTTTTGGTACCACATCGTTGCCCGTGTTTGTAGTGGCACATCCTCTAGGAGCGTTGGCAATCGGTGTTGAAGAAATGCCAAATAGTTTTCTCCATTTAATGTAGGAGGTAGCTCTACTGGTCCTAATATTGAACCATTGAAGATTCCTGTCCATAAATTGATTTTAAACATGTATTGTGAACGGTCTTCTCTGGTTTCATGCGGGTTCTCTAACTGCCAACTATGAATATTGTGCAGGTTAAGATATCCGTCCCTTCTGCACTGAGACTCATCAGTCCACAAAACTTTATGAAAAAAGTCGGGATCTTGCCTATTTAGTTCCAGCATTCGTCGGCAAAACAGAACTCGTTTTACATAATCACCCTCAAGGAGAGTTTGCACTCTTTGAATGTGGTATGGGTGAAATTGATACCTTTTTTTTAAAATACGATGAACCGATGATTTCGGTATTCCAGTGCGGCTTTGTATCATACGAACCGAAGTCGAGGGATCCTCTTCGCAATCCTGTAGCACGACGTCATCCTCGATTGTTCGCGGTCTCCCAGATTGAGAACCTCGAGTTCCAGGTATTCTGCCCTCCCTATAGGCAGAATCCAATCGTTCAATCACCTCATACGTCGGATGTCTACGGTCTGGATACCGTTCCGCGTACAATCTTGCAGCCAACCTTGCGTTTAATGAGACTATGCCTCGAGTAGAAACTTTCCTGGTTTCGCCGTAAATCAAGTACATGTCAGCGTACTCACGATGTGTAAAGCGACTAACAGCGCCTCTTCGTGGATTTTCCATTATTAGAACTTTCACAACAAAATCAATCAGTCCAACAACAGTCCGAGTAGTAAGCAAATCAAAGTCCAATTTATAAACGCCGAGTAGTCAAAAATATTAAAAATAACGAAAGGAGCACAAAATCGCACGAGTATCACAAAAAACTGAAAATAACGTACTAAAAACAAAATCAACCACCGAAGTCCGAAGCTACCTGTGCGAGACTGAGATAGCACTGTTCTCCCTCTATTCACAGCTATCTCGCTCAGTTTATGACCGGAGAACTGGTTGATGGGATGCTAAACACAATAACTAAACAACATTCCTTTTCATTGCTTTTGAAAACAGAATTCTTATTCAATAACAAATTACAGCTTCCCGCTGAGAGCGCTACCCTTAATAATAAAAATAGTAATTTTGACATTTTTTTAAATAGTTGATATAAGTGTTATACCTTTTCTGAATTTGCAGTAATTGGAGCAGTTTTTCAAATTATTTGCCAGTTTACGTCCGTACATTTTTTTTTCAGGGTAGGTCAACAAAGTTGGAGTTCAATTTTGTTCAAGGGTAAAAAGTAACACAAATCATTTTATTTTATTAAAAAATACACTAGATTTTGGGAGAAATTTACTTTCAACGCATGGAACAACTGTTCGAAAAATACAAAAATATAAAAAAAAACAATTTCCAAGGTATTTCTAACGACAACGGTAGAAACACTAACTTAAAGTAGAGATTTTTGAGAAAATAAAACAATTGACGATATCTCAAAAACTAAAATACTTTTACTAAGGTCATTTTTCTTTATCTGCAAGACCTAAGGCTAGCCTATCTTCCATGTCACTCTGACGTGATATTTTTGGGACACCCAGTATACATATTGAATTTATCCAAATGAAAAAAAAACTTATAAATACTTCGTAATTTTATTACCACCATATAAATCTATCAATATCGCCCTATCGATAAAATTCGCGCATACCTGCAACATTGCAAAAATATGGCGAAATATTTGAAATGTCATATAGGTTTTATGGACAATTGTATAGATTCTGATAGGATTGTGATAGGAAAAATGGGTTGGATTTAGAATCGTTTGGCAGGAATTTGGGGGAGTGTAAGGTGTTTTATTTGGTAGAGGTTTGGTCCCCGATTATAATAATACCACTCACATTAAAAGGTAATGCACCGTCATCGAAAAAATAAATAAAAACTATTATAACCTAAAATGCGTAAAGTATGGAAAATGATACATTTTTATTATGAAACTGACTTTATAGCTCTGGGTTCTAGCCCTTCTGAGAAAAAAAAATTATACGATATTACTGTGAAAGCTGGATAGTGTATAGAATTTTGTGTATGTGTGACAAGGACGTAAGACTAGTGTCACATTATTCTACTGTCTGACCCTGACCCAAGCGACTCTCCGTATTGTGGAGAGATGGTGCAGGGAATATGACCTAACCATTAATCCAAACAAAACAGTTCTTGTAATATTTACACAAAATCGAATGCTGAATAACTATCATCTCCAAGTATTTTCAGCACAAAACTCCAGCTGTGCTCCGAGGTAAAATACTTAGGTCTTACCTTGGACACTAAACTTAACTGGAATAAACACATAGAAAACAAAATCAAACGAATGCTGAATAACTATCATCTCCCACATCTTTTCAGCACAAAACTTCAGCTGTCCTCCGAAGTAAAATACTTAGGTCTAACCTTGGACAGTAAACTTAACTGGAATAAACACATAGAAAACAAAATCAACAAAGCAAGGTTAACTTTCTGGCAATGCAGAAACATGATTGGCAAATGATGGAGATTGATGCCAAAAATTATAATGTGGCTGTACAAAACTGTAATTCGGCCTATGATCACATACGGCTCTCTGGTATGGTGGACCAAAACTAACGACACACAATAAAAGCCACAACAATAAAAGCTTCAGCGTTACCAGAGATTGGCTTGTAATGCTGCCACAGGATGCTGCATAAGAACTACACCAACAGCAGCTTTAGAGGCTATACTGGAGCTAACACCGCTTCATCTACATATACAACAAGAAGCAACTTTAGCTGCCATTAGACTCAAGACCCTAAATCCTTTAAGTAAGAGTAGAGTCCTCCATACAGGCATAAATTGATAGAATTTACTCAAAAATTCCTATCTTACTAGCCAAGTATGATAGGATCCCAAAACAAATTGTATTCGATAAGAAGTACAGGATACAATTGAAGGAAACTGACCAGCTGGAAGGATTGGGACCAAAATTTTTCTGAAGACCTTAATATCCACATATGCACACCACTGAGTACCCATGACACAGTCTTCCAGGCTGAATGCATGGCAATGCTGAATGTATCATCCAAGCGGCCGTAGCAATAGATGCTAGGAAGGTGAAAGACTTCTCCATCAGAATACTGACCGATAGTATGGCAGTACTACAAGCTCTGAGTTGTAATTTGGCTAACTCGGGACTGATATATGAGTGCCATCAACGATTGAATGAGGTATGTAAGCACAACAATGTGACTGCAATGGATCAAGGGACACAGTGGATCTAGAAGCAACGATGCAGCAGATGAACTGGCCAGAAAGGGGCCGGCATCGCTCCCCGAAATAGCTTGCAACATCAAAGGACTGTTGAACTTCTTCGGGGAGATATCATAGCTCGAATAATCACATTATTCCTGCCCACACGCAAAATACGCGCTTAGACGTGAAGTTGCGGAACAGCCTGTCGTAAACTAATCGTAAACGAGTCGTGGTTTTGACAAAGGCGAACCGCCAGTGAAACGCCAATTATATGTCGAGAAGATGAAAGCAATGTGGAATTTAGTCACTGTGTACCGAAAATTTAGCACACGGGAACAAGTTATTGCTTTTGCTGAGGAAAAAGGCATGATCCCAGCAACAAAAATATGTAGTGTTTAGAATAAGAAAAGTAAAAAAAGTATGTGTTTAGAATACTCCACCAATAGAACGGTGGGCTTATTTGTCTGCAACCGAGGCCCATGCAGATCTAAATAAAAAATTAGCCGTGGCAAAGGCATGTGGTTTGAGAATGTCAAATTAACAATACCTCAAGTATTTTACTTAATGTATGCATATACAAATAAGAAATGATATATAATGAAGTTATGATATGACTTTAAAAGAGGATTATTCTGAAAGGGAACATTGTATATCTAGAGCAACTGTTAATGATTGGTTTATTTACTGTCGGGAGGCTGTAGTCATTTATGAAATAGAGAAACAAAGTATCCTGGGAAAAATTGGCAGTCCAGGAAAAATTGTCAAAATTGATGAAAGTAAATTTGAAAAAGGGAAATACACAAAAAAGAAAATCATAGTGACCCTGAAAACCCTTTTGTAACAGCAGACGGCACCCACACTCAAAGAATTGAGTCTCAGTGGCGTATCGTCAAAAGATATTACAGTAAAGACAGCTATAATAATAGAGAAGATTTTACCGACTTACTACATTAATATTTATGTAGAAGAGAAATTATAAAGAATAAAAGAGATCCTTTTGAGGAATTAATAAAAATAATAAATTATGTTTACAAACAATAAAGAAATTATTATAATATACCGTTTTATTTCTGAATTGTTTAAAACTATCTGGGCAGTTAATTGGGTTCGCTATAGACATCTGATACTTCATTTTGATAATGATTTTAGTCTAGGAGGCTTGTTAGGGTTAAGCTTGAACTTATTACACTGTTTTTAGATGTCAGAAATGCATTTTGAATTAATTACGATAAAAACAAATTTCACTAAAAATTGTGTAATAATGAAACACAAATATGTCAATTTGTTCTCATATTATAAAGTAGATGTCCGGAACTTGATATTTTAATTTTGTTTTCAATTTAGGAGGATTGTCAGGGTTAAGCCCGAACCAATTACACTGTTTTTGGATTTCTGAAATGCATTTTGAATTAATTATGATAAAAATAAATTTCACTAAAAATTGCATATAGTGAAACGTAAATATGTTATGATATATAAAAAAAGTTAATCATTCGGACACAGACAAATCATTAGTGGCTGGAGACAGGACTTATATACAACAAATTGAGTCACAGTGGAGAGCAGTCGAGAGGTTTTTCAGAAAACAAAATTGTAACAATTCACATTACATTATTTCATTTACCAATATAATAGCAGAGTTAAGGGCAACTAGACTTTAACCCATTCCATGCCAGCAACGCACTCGCGTGCGTTTTAGTTTTTTTTACTTGTGTGCCTGCAACGCACCCGTATGCGTGTAGTGTATGTTTTAATAAAGTATCATTTATTCAATGTGCGTTGCATTGTTGTTGCCATTTTTTAATACACCTCAATCTAGATTATATTTCTGTTATGTAACAGTGTTTACAGTAGTAAAAAAAATGTCACAATTGAATTGACGATTTTTGCTAGTATTATAAATCAAGTTTTTACAGTGATTTAGGTGTTAAAAGGTAAGTAAATATGATTTTTTAATACGTAATTTTAAGTCTACTGATAATATTTTGGATAAATTTTGAAGTCCAAAACATACCAATGCTAATGTTGTGTTCAATGGCATTTATGAACGACTTTGTTCATGGATGGTGTTACACATCGACAGTAATCGGTCGCTCAATGTTACTACTGCTATTGTAACTTTATAATGTTATTTTATAACTTGAGATATTTTACTTCAGTGTTCGTATTACTTACCCTACATGGTACAAAATAATACCATTTGTGAAAAAAGCTTTTATTTTTAAATTTGAATGGGATGAATTGTGTAGAGTAACTAGTATTTTTGTCGTTTATAGGTCTTTTGTTTTCTCAAGCATTATGGCAAATAATAATAGAGGTCGTCGTTTGGTTGAATTGTCACTTAATACTGCCGAAGGTACTAATTTACAAGCTAGAAAAGAAAGTTATTCACAAGATAGGTATAGACAGTTGCTCTTTATTTACTAATATGAATGGTTAGAATGATTTTATCTATTTAAAATCAATGTATTGAATGTTGTTATTTTTTAAAGTTCAACAAATCAGAAAATAAAAATGTTTTGGAGATAAAAGTAGCACATCAGGTTTAAAGCAGAAAAGGGCGAGCTCTTTAAATACGGCAGTAGAAGTAGAACCTAAGAATATTCGGCGAAATTCTATTGAAACACGATGCCCAATATTGCCATTCCCAGATTCTGTTCAAAGGTAGGTAACCTACACATTTCTTTTCTTTTGAGAGTATTTTTAAGTTTAGTTTTTCAATAGAATATTGTTGTTTCAGTAAACAACAACTATGCAATCAGTCTCCAGTACTTTGCACATCTTCTAGTGGTGTAGTTAAAACTTGGTCTGTCGAAAATGTGTCAGAATTACATTCAACTTCGAAGGCCATTGTCATCGATATGGTTGCCCAAGCAGACTGTGATAACAAATCATTTACTAAAATCTTGTATAATGTATTCTGCTAGAATACCTACATTGCTTAATCTTTTAGCTTTTTTTTAGATACTGTTTTACATAACTTTGTTGAAGCTCTTGGGCTAAAATATTCTCTGTATTTGCTAAATATTTTTCATTTTACTATAATTATTATGAAAATACGTACTTATAATATAATTATGTAAAAGGAGAATTAAAGACTGCTTTGATCTTATATGAGTATTTTTATTTCTGTCACCTACCCTACACCCTAACAATTTAACTATTGGTTCATGTTTCCCAGTCGGGCATAAAGCCATCCACTATATACTCTAAAAAGTGCCCACGCACCGTATGCGTTTGGTGTATTTTTTCGTATTTATCAACAATATTTATTTAAAAAAAATCTAAATACATCATTAGTAATCCATTCCATACCATAAAACATAATAAAAAGTGGTGGCACCTAGTCATCAACTTTTAAAAAAAGGTGGCATCGAATGGGTTAAAGATAAAATTGGTCGAATCAGTTATAAAACTGAATTAGCACACCCCGACTCCACGTAGTCTTGTCTGTTTACCCCTAGTGTTTTTGTAAAGCCTTAAGCACGGAGGGAGAGCAGCCCCGCCCGTCGTAGCAAATAGCAGGCACCTGTGCGAGCCGTAGTGTGCTTATTATTATATTATGTTTATAAATTAAAGTAAAAGCTCGGGACTTAGGGCACCCCGACTCGGACAGGTTAGGTTAGAAAGGGATAGCGGGGTCAAGTGAACGAGCGAATAGACCCCGCATTCTTTCACTACGCATTTACCCATTTTTTGTCACGGATCGTCCGGCTTAACTCTGTCGGCGTCACATTGAACACTGAACTGACGTTAGCCAGGCATATGGCTGTGGCCATATATGCAGTGGCAACGCTTTGGCGCGGTAATTACTTACCTAGTGTAATATATAAATCAATGTTTTTTAATGTAAGTGGTATTATTATAATCGGGGACCAAATCTCTACCAAATAAAACACCTTACTCCCCCAAATTCCTGCCAAACGATTGTAAATATCAACCGGAAATGTGAACAAAATCTTGAAAAGTATGAAATTATCTCGTATATTCATTTGAATTTTACCGTTTTCACGTAGATTTATCCATAAATATTGACATTTATATTTACTACTTCCTCCGTACTCATCATTTCGATTTCAAGTATTTTTAGGCGCTTACTTTTCACTTTCATGCCACAAATTATATATCTACGGGTTTGTTATATTACAAGAAATACACAAAAGTATAATACTTACCCTTTTATTCCAAAATAAACAGAAAAATGGTAAAATTACTTAAACTCTAGTCCACGCGCGAACGCTGTGTGCATTTCCTCTATGGCTGTGTGGTGTGTGCATAGAGTAGAGCACAGAACACGCCCTAATACCCTTAGGCGGGAAGAATGTCAACTTCAAACAAAGAAAATGGCACCCATAATGCACGCCATCTCTGTCGTGCCCCACTAAAACTTTTTTGCGCGGGAATTTTGAAACGTGATTTTTTTTTTAGTTGGCGTCTTGGTTGTTTCTAGGCATGTCGATCTAAAATCGATTAATCGAAAAATCGATTCTTTGTAGCAAAATAATCGATTGAAAATAATTTTTTAGATCGATTCGGAGCACCGCATCGATTCACTGAATCGATCCAAAAACCTCTCGAATCGGACCGATTCATCTGATTCTAGAACCAGCGATAAAATTCCCAAAGTGATTGGGGTATATATACCGCAGTTTTTTAATTTTTTGCTGTTGGGGGACGCAAAAACAACCGATCTTACTTGGTTGATAATTTGAACGCAATATACAACATGTAACATAATTAACGCAATTTGAAAAAGTAGTTTGTTCAGAATTGTTTATTGAATCGATTCCTATCATTTTTAATATAGGTAATTTTTTATCCCAAAAATAATTAAAACTACGTAAATTACAGTCACACTAAATCTGTACAGTCAAACAAATTGAAATGGACCGTATCTTAAGGCAATAAGACTTTTAAGAGTGCAGTTTTATTTGTGTTATTACTAATTCTGTCATTCAATAAAAATAAAGAAAAATGTACTTTATTTCAAGCACGTTAAAGTCTTTGCGTTCGTGGATTTGTACTGTGACCACAACATTCTTCCGGAATTAGTATAACTAATTTGATAAATAATCAGTGCATAAAAATGTTTAACTAAAATTCAGTGTATGTATTATGATTATAACATACACCCTTAGACACCCCAATATACTAATTGGGGTGTCTGAGGGTGTTCGTTAATTACGTTACATATTGTATATTTGAATAAAATAAATATTTATGAACGTATCCAACAATATCGAAAAGTTGTCATTTCATTTTCATTTCTAAATTTCTAATTCTATTCCTACCTGTGGAATGTTGGTTTAACTTAATCTGTGCTGTGAACAAAACTACATATACATACTACAATTTAATATTATAGCTGTGAACCTGATTGAACTGTGAACTTGCGAATTTACTTTATTATCAAAAACATACATACTGTGAGCTCTAAGTACAGACGGAGTACTTTCTATTTATCTGGATGCTGTAAATAAATATTATATGTTGAAGTTTATAGTAAGGAAATAACCAGTATTGTGTTCGTGTAGCATTCATTTCAATTTGATAAATAATGAGTTATTAGATTGAAACAGATTTATCGAGAAATGTACGTTGCAATTTGCAAATTTTGTTAAAGTATTGTTGTTGTTTTTAGCCAATCACTTTGTAAATAAAAACCGGCCAAGAGCGTGTTGGGCCACGCTCAGTGTAGGGTTCCGTAGTTTCCCGTCCGTCACAATAAGTGTTTCCACTTATGAGTTTAAAGGTGGGTATCCATTATGTTCGCCAGCGCCGCTCCTGCAACTGCTCCCGGTAGTGGGTACGTGCGCGAACATGCACGCTGCGGCAGGCGATGCCAAGGAGAGACCAACCGAATAATTCGATAATACCCAACCCAATGTAATAAGTACCTACAGCGCCATCTGTCGGGGACTTGGGTTACTAATTAATACATAGACGTGCCAGAAGTTTTCGGTGGTAATTTTGGATTGCGAGAACCGATTTTAATAATTCTTTTTTTGTTTGAAAAAAGATACGTTCAGGATAATAAAATATGTAAACGAAGTTAAAAAAAATGCTTGCATATACGATTATACTACAAACTTAGTCCAGAAATTATTTTGTACAACTTTTTGTCTTTTTTGTACAAAAACTCTTTCCATGCAAGTCGATTATTTCCGAAATTATTGACATTATCAAAAAATGATTTTAGTAAACCCCTATTCATTTTTAAATACCTTTCCAACAATATATCACACGTTAGGGTTGAAATTAAAAAAAAAATCACTTCCCACTTTACATATAGGGGGGCTACCCTAATAAAACATTTTTTTCCAATTTTTATTTTACCACTTTGTCGGCGTGATTGATACACATATTGGTACCAAATTTCAGCTTTCTAGTGCTAACGGTCACAGAGATTAATCGAGGACGGACAGACGGCCAGACAGACATGGCGAAACTATAAGGGTTCCTAGTTGACTATGGAACCCTAAAAAGGGATCGAGTGGCGAACCACCCCTAAAACAAGCGTTTCAAGCTTACCAGGAGAGGTTAAAAGGAATATTAGTAATTTTAATTAACAAGATTACTAATATTTTAATTTCAAAAAAATATTAAAGTTCAATTAAAGAAAAAATCGCAAATTCTTAAAATTTCATGTTTGAATATGTCGCGATTAATCGAAAATCGATCTTTAAATCCTCGATTTAATCGATTCTTGTATCTTCGATTCAAATCGATTTTTTAAGAGTGAATCGACATGCCTAGTTGTTTCGTTTCAAAAATGGCTTAAGAATGTAAAATACCATATAGATAGATCACTGACCTCTATATTCACAAGTACGCTGGACTGGCTATAAACTGTGACATGATGAAGCGATTTGATTTCCGCCATTTTGGCGCTGACAGCAGAAGTGCACGTCCACGGAACTAATAATAGGGATAAGACAGTGTATCAAATTTTATCGATAAATATTCTATACCCTACCTATACCTAAATAAATAAAATGGACTCTATGGATAGATGGACTCTACCCATAACGTCTATTCTATTTATGTATCATATTAATATAATGCCATTATCATTCATCATCATTAAAACTCTTCACAAGTCCACTGCTGAAAAAAGGCCTCCCCCAAGGAATGTCACAAAGCACGGTCCTGAGCTACCTGAATACATCAAGTTCCTGCATGTCTTACCAGGTTTTGACTCCATCTAGTGGGGGAACGTCCTACACTTCACCTGCCGGTACGGGGCTACCACTCGATAACTTTTTTCCCCATCGGTATTCGGTTTTTCGAGCTGTATGGCTGGTCAATTTCCACTTCAGCGTACTTATCCGTTGGTCGATGTCGGTCACTCTGGTTCTGCTGCAGATATCCTCATTCCTAAGTTTGAACCCCAGAGCATAGCCCTCTTCATAGCTCACTGATCGACTTCGAGCTTCCTCATACGGCCCGCAGTGAAAGACCTCGTCTCAGATCCATAGGTCATCACTGGCAACACGGACTGGTTGTAAAATCTAGTTTTGAGGTATTCCTGACGAGAAGATGTGTTGTAATCTCACGAATGCTGCCCAGCCGAGTTGAATCCGTCGATGGACCTGTCGATCGAAGTTGAACTTACCTAGTCGGACTATTTGTCCCAAGTAAAAATACTCGTCAACAACTTCAGCCAAGTGCTCCCAAAAACCAGCGGCATAGGTGTGACATGGACATTACACATGACTTTTGTTTTGTCCATGTTCATCTTAAAACCTATCCGTTGGGAGCACTGACCTCTATATATACAAGTACGCTGGACTGGCTATACACCGTGACATGATGAAGCGATTTGATTTCCGCCATTTTGGCGCTGACATCAGAAGTGCACGTCCGCGGAACTAATAC